CATCAGACATCATCAAGCTGGCCTAAGGGGTTACAAATTTGGATGATGGCCATATACTGTGCTAATTGCTTCTAATAAATTACATATTTCAGGAGGGACATCATGATTTTAATCATTTATTCTGCATGTTGTTTCCTTTGGAGAGAAGAACAAGCAGACACTAAACAAGCCGAGCATCAGAAATTCATGGCAGAAGCTAGAAAGAGCTCATTTAATATCAACCATCATTGTAAATACGAGAATTATGCATGTATCAAATCCCTGGGTCTGAACACTTTGGGAACAGCCAGTGAGTCCTGGTTGTTTTAATGAGTCAAACCAACATGTTGTCTTTGAACGTTCCTTAGATTTATAACAACTCGGATTTAATCCCATTTCAAATGTTGTAGCTGGGACCTAGCTCAAGAAAAAGTCTTGTTTCTAAGCAAAGAAAAACACATTAAGAAGGGAATTTAAAGGATGTATTTATTTCCCAAAAGGCTGAGAGGGAAAACAGGCAAATGTACCTTTCACCTCGGTGGGGAAAGACTTTACTTATGATTTGATGACAGCTAATTGCAAAGGTGGTCCCATGAGCACAGAAATCTGCAAGAACTTTCTTTAAAGCCAGATGAAATTAGGAGGATTTTGATGCTGATCTAAATAGCCTTCTGCAGGGTGAACGAGGATGGGTGAAGGTTTCCTATTTCCCTGACCTCTAGCACACCCACACCAGTGGACTCAATGACATCCTCAAACCACTCAGGAATGCACTTCCTTCGTGGGGGAGACCTTGATGGTATATAAATAGCTGCTGGTATTAATAGCAATAGCTGGTAGATAACACGGAGACTTGGGAGCTCTAGGGAATGACGCAGGTTGGGAATAGCTCAGGCTCTCTTCTGTTTGCTTTTGTAAACCTTGTTTCCTGTCACTTCAGTCTGCGTTTCTTTTCAAGGAGGAGCTGATATACCAAAAAGAAGGTCATTATCTAGGTAAAAGGAAACCTACCTTGCTACAAAGTATGCCTTGGGATGGAAAGCTCTGAGAATCGAATGTGCTCTTTTGATTTTCTAGCGGTAATGAGATGCCAAGGAACCACCATTAACTAAGAGCAATCTGTTTCTGCCTTGGCAGCCTAAGCTGTCTGTTGCTTGATCCCTCTCTATCTTGGACTTCAATGGCAAGTGTGAGGGGGAAAGGGTGAGAATCCAGCAAGGCTTCCTGGGGGTCTTCTAACCCACTGACAAGAATAATGAAGATATCTCTAAGGATGCTATTTGTGGGTGGATGGATGGATGGATGGATGGTATTGGTGCTAAAACAGTTGGACTTCTACTTTGTACAGAGGAAAAAGTCCAAAGGATTTTTCTTGGTTTTGTCATACAAAATGAGAAGCAGATTAGTAAATAGGAGCAACAGGCCTTACACAATGAGAATTGACTGGAAAAGATTGCCCTAGGTAAAACTGGTGACGCTTCAAATTGAGAAACATTCCTTTGGTTGTTTTTATGGTATTTTTCAGAGGGAGGTTCAAGCCAACCTCTGGACATGAAGAAGAAGAGCTTAAAATGAAAGAAAGTGACGGGGATTCAAGATTAGATTAGCGTATGAGAGTATTGGAAGTGATAGAAGGATGAGAGAATTTGAAGTTCAGACATAAAAGCCCAACAGTAACAGGAAAAAAAAAAAGATACAAATAGGGGAAATAGAGGTGATGAATCCTCAGTTAAGAATGGTGCCATACCTAGAAAACAATGTGACGAGAGGTAAATCGCTATACACTGAAAATATGACGGATTAATTTGGTACAATCTTCAGATACTGACTTTTGCCAACATTGCATGCTACCTAAGAGTGTGGAACTAACAAACACTAGTGTAGCAGGGTTAGGAAAAGAGATAGTTTTGAAATCAAAATGAAAAACCTCTTTGACATCCATTAGGTTTGGTAATATAATACTAACAAGAACGCTGCACTTAGCTGTTATCTGGTTTGCTGTCTGATCCTCCCTCCTGATTGCCACTTAAATCAATAGCTCTCACATTGATTTTTCCAGCGCACTGGATTCCAGTAAAAAGAACAATGCGCTGAGATGAGTCAGCTATTTGCTCCGTCTGTAGGGACTCTGGTGCATTTTCATTTAGGAAAATAAAAGCAGGAGCCAAAGTACACACAAATATATAGTCATAAGAACCTGCCTGTTGCACCATGCCGTGACACTGGCTCTGCAGACACGTGGGTTCGTTACAGCTCAAGCTTGCTGCAGCAACTACAGACCTGCCTCGAGCTACAGCAAGCCATTGTAAGGATGGAACCAAAATATTTGGGGGCAATGGTAGAGAAATAATAATACCATCTTTCCGTTTACGTGACTGCTATGGCAGAGGGGAAAGTATGCCCACATTTAACCAAGAAGCTGGTCTCCAGATATTTACCATGACATGTAGAACACCAGCAATACTGCATTTTCATTTATTTCAGATATTTTCATCTATTTGCACATTCCACGTAACATGTACTATAGTCCTGATACTGTAACTGGTCATCATTACTGTCTGATGTTGCTTCCACACATTTTACCCATGTTAACAATTTCTGATTTTGTTTGCAATCACAAACATGCAGTTTCATTTACCTTTGCTTTCTCTCTTGCTTAGCCATGAAGTCATGAAACCAGCAACTCTTCTCTCACACAGTTTTGTAATTATTTCAATCAACTTGCAAGAAGTGCAGCAAAAATGTTCTCAGTTCAAAGAAGAAATAATCATCTCAAGAGCTACTTGGGGATTTGGAGTCAGGCTGAAGCGTGACTGTCCCCGCAGTTTCTCTTGGCCACCTCCCTGCTGCAGGCATAGAGCAAAGCTCGTGCCATGGCCCCTCGTCTCTCCCACAGCTTTGTGCACATGGCTGCTGTCTTGGCTTCCAGGCTCTGTGCCAGCCTGCGAGCTTGGCTAGTTTCTGGGAACTTTGAATTAGCAGCAGCTAAAAACTACTAAAATGCCAGAGTAATGTAACAAATGAAAATGCTCTTTTCCACTACAAGTTCTGTTTTATGGAGATCAGAGATCACAGTTTTACAAATTTACCAGATTACAGTCTATCCCACCTTCCATTAATAGCAGCCCTGGATGATATAAAGCAGCCAAAGGGGATGTAAAGGAGAGGGGCTCAGCATGCAGAATCTCATTCTTTACTGTATATTGAAGACCATATTGTGAATATACTGAGGGAGAAACAGCCCACAGGACATACACATATGCAAAGACATGGGAATAGTGTGTAATTGTGAAGCCTGTTATTCTGAAAATACCGCTGAATAGTGCTACCCTCAACTGCTGTAAAACTAGAATCATTACAAAAACTCAGTGTTTCTCAGTAACGTTTTCATAGCATTGTGTGTTTCACAGTGCTACGTGTTGCTTCCTAATCTCTTAGTCCAAACAAAATAACATTCATGTTTTCATGACATTGAAGAGGAAGGAATAATGAATTTTCTACTTCAAGTCATTTTGAAATAAAAAGGGTGCTATTTATGGCAGTTACAGTATGGTAAATCTGGAACAATCCAGCCTGTTTACAGGAAGGGTTATGCACTTCCAGTTGTCCACCTCTGTACCTGGGAATAGTGTCTAGAGAGTTAAGGTATCAAGGAGAGGCATTGGGTGCTTTGCTTTGTTCCGTTTACAAGATACTTCAGGTTAGTTGTGATCTGTCTTGAATCACTTTCCTACTTTGCTACTGCTGCCTGGGAATTAAGTTGATGTAGAGGCAAACTATGCCAGGTACTTCCCCAGGTCTCAGCAGCGTATTGAAGATAACGCTGGGTAGGCTGCAGGCCCCGAGAGGAGGTGTAAGGACCTGTTTCACAGAGCACTTCATTTGCACAGGATTTAGTTTAGGCTTGTCCAGCAAATTAACACAGCAGTGAGATCAATAGGTATTATTGCTACCCGTGCAAAGCTTCTTCCTTCCTTCCACAAATTATTATAATTGACTGTAACAATCTTATTTCTAATATCCAGAATGCAAACTTTATCCCATTTTGACAAACAGATGTAAGTGTTGTGTGGCACCCAAGTGATTTTTTTTAACTGTTGCTAAGACAAGTACTAGAGATCTGAAGCTACAGAATGAGATACGTAGAACTGGCTGATGTGGTAAATTACCTAATGACAGCGGCAGTATTTCACACAACAAATCAGATACCCTACCTTTTTTGCCAGGTAATAAATTGTGTTAAGCAGAAGGAATGAAAATTGAGGCTATTCATTATCTATCAAGAGACACCCGACAGGATAGCCTTTGGTTTGCCGGCTGAAAATGATCCTGCACTGACAAGTGTCAGGCTGAGGTGCTGGTGAATCACTATAGATCTTGCTTCGCTGCAAGCATGGTCAAGTCAAACTCTGTTCAGAGTCAGCTGAGAAACAAGTCCTAAATGTAGCTTCCTGCTGCTTCTACGTTCATTCCTGAACCGCATGCAAGTCCTTTAAACATTTAGTGAGATTTCTCATTTCCCCTTGTCTTCACACTTCCTGTGATCAGATACCCAGCCTACAACTTTGGCTATCCTCCTTTTCACAGCTGCCTGGAAAGGGAGGCAGAACGTACCGGAGTGGTTTAAATAAGAAACAGGGGGCTGTATGGAGCCAGCACTGCTCAAACATACGTATTCTAGGAGTTACCTTCACTGTTTGGGATGGAATTATGTTACCTCAAACTAACAAAAGTACCGAGGCTTTGCAAAAAAAGACCCTTTTTAAAAAAAAACAAATTAAAAAAATTGCCACTGCTGCAGGATGCTGTGGTGAGGATAGACAGATAGGTGGTGAGCAGCAGGCAGATGGTCAAGGCCAGACAGCCACTTCAACGTGCACAACTGGCGATGGCTGAGCATGAACTTCTCTCGGCCATCAGAGTCATAAGTGCCATCGTTCGCACCCCAGCGCGTCCTCTGCGAGGGAAGATGCAAAGTCACAGTGCAAGGGGAGCGTGCCCAGACAGGGCAGAGACAGTACCTGCACAGTACCTTTGAGGGCCGGTGGGGTGAAGACGCTCTGCTTCCTCTGCTTGGGAGAGCCGCTCTGGGACTGGGGAGGGACAAAACAGAGAGAGAGGCTGTCAGAGACGGGGAGAGGTTCCTGCCCGTGACAGCTCTGGGTCTTGCCCCGCAGCTGCCTTCAGAGGGTATGCACGCCAATCTGAAAAGTTGCTAAGAAAACTGCGTTGTATAAATCTGGTGCCAGCTCCCGGGCTTCCGTGGAAAAACTAAGATTAGATTAAAAAAATAAGTGTTTAATGGACAACCCTTATGGCTCCCAGGCAAAACAGACCAATGCTACTGAAAGTTACCCTTCACTCTAACAAAATATGGTTAAGCATAAAATTAAGGTACCTCGTGCTTTTAACAGTCTATGTAACCAATTCTTACAAGGCAAAAAAATGTTAACACATATTAAAATAGCTGCAAGGTTTACATTGTCCAATATTCTAATTAAATACAATGTAACGAATGATTATATGTGTACCTATATGTACCTATATGTACAGGTAAGATAGGACTGAAATTATTAATGTATACATTTTTATATAAATAAATGGAAGATCCCTCCCCCTGTACTTTTTCAATGTGTTCTATTACTCCTAAAACAATAATTTCAGCAACCAATCACTCAGCCTTTAAGTGGGCCTGATTTAAGTGATATATTTAGACACATTTAAAGTTTTTATTGCCACAAAATCACCAATATGCACAAAAGATTAATTATTCCAAAATAATGGTAGTAAAATTACACATAGAGTAACCGTAGTATAATCATACCACTGTATAGTTAGCAAAACCTAACTGGAATATATTCCAGTGCTAAAGCAGAGCAACTGTTGCAAAATGAAAGCAGTTAAGTTAGTGTCTGTATTAAACCAACTTGAAATATGTCCATATACAAAGGATAATAAAACTACATAAGGTCACACACACAGCGAGCTTTTGAAGACATAAGCACCATATCACATTCCTAAGGAAAAGGTTAAAAAACAGCTGTGTGTAGGCAAACTTTACTTTTTCTCATCTAATCAACTTCTAGTTGTATTTGGTCATAACAATGTTGCCTTTTCCCAAATATTTGCTAAAAGTGCCCCTTTCCCTGAGTACTTTGACAGGTATAGCCTGTGAATTTTAATCAGATCTGCTTCTTCAGGGAACATTTGAGGCAGCTCTTAAGAAAACCATTTTCACACAAGTATGGCCAATCCTATTGCCTTACCTTATCGTGATGGATGGGATGACAACACTTTTAAATAAAATATTGTCTTCATTTGAAAGAGAAAGCTATTTATAAACACTGCGGGATACATTGTTGATCCTCGCCCCAGTAAATCTTTATAAGTCTGTATTTGAGTCCAAATTTGAACCAATCAATACCTCCTACTGCTATTTAAAGCGCTGCCTGCTTCCCTGAGCAATGGCTGAAGGAGAAAGCGATCAGGGAGCGGCAGGAGCTGCGGAAGGGGAGGTTAGAAAACGAGACCAGAGGAGCCGACTTTTAAACTCTTGTGCAAACACCACCAGTGCGCTGCCTGCCGGGGGCTTGGCAAAGGGTGGGAAGAGGGGAGAGGCGCTTGCAATGCTTTTGTAGACCAGCAGTGATCCGCAGACCCGAAGCAATGCTGGGTGGGGCGACCTGCCAGGGTCGCCTTGGGCCGGGTTCGCTAGGATTTGCCAGGGCATGGCAGCAAGGCAGAGGGGAGATTTCCCTTTCCCAGTTCCCTGCTACAGGGAAGAGGGAAGGCCGGCAGAGCTGGGATGCAACACAGCTTTACACAGCCCCGGTTTGAAAGCGATGGTCCTTAGAAGGCTGCGCTACTGGCAACGCCGTGATAATGTAAAATAAAACGTTAACCAGCCTGGTTCAGTGAGTTTTAAAGGGGTTTTAACAATCGACCTATTTTAACAATAAATATGTTTAAAAAAAAAAAATTCACTTACCTCTGCCTGTGAGATGTTTGTTCTCTTCTCGTCTTTTTCTAGAGGAAAAGATACGGGAAGAGAAAAGTTAGTACGAAAGCATTTCTCAGGGCTAACCCTTGCGACTCTGCCCCGAACCCTACAGCACTGTTCTAAATAAGAACCTACCCTTCTCATTTTCAGCTTTTCCTTCTCTTTTGTCTCTCTCAGAAAACCAGAGGCCCTCATCAGCACTTAGACATAAGCACTACCTCCAAAGCACTTAAATCCCACTTTTTGCCTGCGGATTGACAGCAGGCGCTGGAGTGCCCTTTGCAGCAGGTCCTTCGGCCGGCTTGCAGCCGGGCCCCTGTGCTCACCGGTGCCCGTCGGGCTACCTGGCTGCTCTGCCCAGGGACCGAGCGTGCTTTCTTCTGTGGCCAAAAGAGGCTTGGTTTGCCAAAAGAGGCTTGGTTTCCAAACGGCGTGCAGCAAACTGACACAGGGCTCTGCCGGGCTCAAAAAATAGGAAGAACCTCACCTCAGTTAAGTTATTAACATACCAATGCTGGTACTGAAGAGCGCCTAACAGCAGTATGTAAAATTAGCAAACCAAAGCTTAACAAAGACCAAGCTTTCATTTTAAAAGCTTCATGACATTACTGGACTGAAATTTTTCATAGAACTGCTTGCTTTTGCTGCCTTAGTTTGATTTGGACTATAGGCATGGCAGAAACGGCCAATACTAATTAAAATAAACATCTCTGAGAACCTGTCTGAACAACTAAGTAAAATTGCATGAAGCAGATGAGGGCTAAGGATTTTCCTAACCATTGCACTTAACCAGTTTTTCATGAGATTGAATTATTTTTCTGCTGTTGTCTTGATGTGGTTAATGGCCACAAATTGTCTGTCTGATGATGATGATGATTTCCCAAATGTTTGACAAAGATAATGTAGGACCTTTGACGCACAGTAGTTTGGAGCTCTAAAATAAAATGCCATTAAAACCAGAGACATCAATCTCCTGCTGTATCAACGCCCCTTCTAAAATTTTCCACTTGCACATATCACTGTGCAATTTCCACTGAGGTGTGGCAGATCTGTAAATGTAGGTCTGAGGGAGGAATTAGGTCTAGGCAATATCCCTTTATCTAACTTATCCTCTAGGTACTGGCTGCTTGTGGTGTGCTGTGTGTGAGGGGATGACCCCATCCAGGCAGACGGATTGCGTCTTCTCTCGTATTCTTTACCATTGTACCTGTGCATCTTGCAAACATTAATTGACTTAGTGGGTATTTTCAATGTATGTATATCCCGTTACCTTTATACGAAAGGCATTCAAATGACTCATACCCGAGGTTAAAAAGTGTAGCTGAAAACAGTGCTGATTACTGAAGCATGGTCCCCCAGATACAGAATTAGACAGGACAATCAGGAGGCCAGTTCCTGTCATTGACATTTGTATTAACTTTAGTAAGGTGACTAATCTCTTCCTTGACTTCCTTACCTGTAGATAAGTATAGCAGTGCCTGTTTAAGTATAGCAGTGTCTATTCACCTTTGTAAAGCACTTTGGGCTATGAAGTTAGGCTGGATAAACAGGTGACTATTCACGTGCTTGTAATCTTTCTTACTAGTTGTATACCAGACACTGACTTCAATGATTCAACATTGGATTTTATTTTTTTTTTAGCTGAGGAACCTGTATTTTGTTTGGAGGCTGAAATTTGAATAAATCGGGAACTTTCAGCAGAAAACAATGAAAAGTAAGTTATATCGCCTTTCTTCCTGAAACTCTAAACTTGCCCAGATTAAAAATATGTTTTGCAAAACCAAGCTGAGGCTTGCAAAAGGAACAAAACCTGCAATCAGCAGCTTTGTCAGGTTTCAGGTCTTGTTCCTAAGGACACGCACAGCTCCAACCCTGGACTTGCATGTTTGGTGTTCTTAGTGGGGTGACATTAAACCTACCAGAACTGGAAGGTTTCCAGCCTTTCCTTTCACCCAGCAGCCCTTATATGAGAGGCAACTTTGGGAACAAGTACTGGTCCTGTATGGAGTTAGAGAAATCATTCATATCCACAGGGCAATTAGTGCCAATGAATAGCAGCAGACAACGTGGAAATTTAAGAATGGCTTAAATCACACAAAATCACACAAACAAACACTTTTTCAAATCCAGCAAACAGAGAACAGAAATTAACCTAAAGGAGCAAAAGAGACAAACCTGAGGCAGCAGACATGAAGTGTTTCAAGTGCATTGTGAGATGAAGGGAAAGGTAGAGCTGGCTGGAGATGCATTTTGGTCAATGGCACATTTTGACATGCATTTATTTTTGAGGACAGAAAAAACATTGCAAACTTATTTTTGACAGGAATTTTCATGGAGAAGACTCAATGGACAGTATAGATTCTTAAGGGGAGGTGACAAGGAGTGGGAATGAGGGAGGCTGAGATCCCTGAGTGCCATAGACTGAGGCAGAGTAGAAAATAAACAAAAGCTCTTTCTGTAGAGGATGAAGAAAAGATGAAAGGCAAGGAGACACAGAAGGAAGATAGAACTGCTAGTGTGTAGTTGAGGTAGTAATGAGAGACAGGGACAGTGGGGTTGTAACAGAAGTAAAAGGGGGAATTCAGTGGTGACAGAGAGCAGAGCTGGAGTGCAGTGTGGGCTGGAGCTCAGTCAAGAGCTGCCTGAGGAAATACTTAGAGCCATCTTGGTCTAACTGAAGGATTACATTAGTAATTGTGTGAACATTCTTCCTTGGACAAATAGTGTTTTCCAGTGTAGGTGGAAAAGCAGTCTTTGAAAGCAGTCTAAATAAATTAATGAAAGCATATTCTTATAACAGTCTTACTAAGAAAGTGTCCTTGTGAGAGTCAATGCGTGTAGGAATCGATGCTCTCACTACAACAGGTCAGTTCTGGCATGAAGAGATTGCACATAGAAGATCTCTGTGACAGCAGAATTTATGATGAGAATGGAAGGTACAAGGTAACAAAGAACATCTTCAGTTAGCTACTGCAAATCAGACATATCTACCTATGGAAGTCAAACAAGGCACGCATTTCCCACCCTTACATCCCTCTCAAATCCATTGACAATTATAAGCTGAATTTCTTTACTGAACTCTTTGAGCATAAATTCCTCTTGAGAAGGGTCAGGAAATAATCTGAAACTAAATCACAAACATCAGACTGTGATATTACTTGATTCACAGGAAAGAATGAAATCCCTGGGTTCTCAGCATCCTTTAGTTCCCATTGAATACTGCTCAGTCAGGATTCTGCTCACAAAAAAAAAAAAATCATAGTAATACAGAATGAGAAATTTCCTTATCATGTTTATAACTAGGCAATTATATAATGAAGAATGTGAATTCAAGTGATCAGCTATTTCTCTCTTATATGAAACAAAACCCAAGCTCTCTGTAGATACCTTCTCCCTACAGGTTTGCTTTCTTTTTAGGGCCAGGAGGGAAGGAGACTCTTTAATGATGCTCCATTTTCCTCCCTCACAGGCCATAACATCGCTCACAGAACACAGTACAGCTGTACTATATTCCAAATCTCAACATATGGCTTTTTTCCACTTTAACTTATTCTTGGCTGCTCTAATTAGCTAACAGGAATCTAATTATTCAAGTCATTTCTTTACAGTTTTTGTGGTTTTGTTTTAAAGGGGTATAATAGAAATCATATGAAAAGTTGAGAACAGATTTGTACATACCCAAATTACTGGAAAGTCAAGGTAGGTAAAAATAAGATTGGAGCTTTGTTTAGAGGTTTTCTACACTTGTGCTGAGGAAAGAGCAGTGGGAGGCTTTCCCCTGTGCTGAGTCAATGACATCAGAGGCCAGCATGGCCCTTACCTCATGCAGACCAGAGTAGCACCTGGCAAAATAAATAGGGCTTCAGGCTTTAGTCAGTCTCCTCAGGAAGAGAAATGGTCCATGTTCATCAATGAAAGGTTCAGTCTAAAGGATATTTCTGTCAGTCCAGATATGTACACAGACTTTCCGAAATGAAGCCTCATTTCTTTAAGGAGACACACTTCTGAAAGTCCACCTACCTGCAGAGAACCCATTTCAGCGTTAGAGCTCTAAGCTTTGGTCTCTACCCAGGGCAAAACCTCACCCACTTGCAAGGAAACCTGAAATATGCTGAGATATGGAGGAAGGAACACCAAGAGATTTGTCTCCCACGCGCTATTGTTAGCGTAACTCTTTTGAATGTTTCTCAGCACAGCCACCCAGCCAAGTTGACATAATAAGCGGAGCTACCCCAAAGGTGTCGTTATGTGAGGTCAGAAACGAGCCAGGTGGAAGGAGGCTGGCTATAGCCAGGGTAACAACCGCTTGACATCGCTGATCGCTCTTCCTGTGAATCTCCACTGTTGTGCAAATGGCCTGACTATGCTGGGGGAGGACTTACGGTCTTTTTAGAGTAAGATCAAAATTCATCTGCCTCTCTTCTCCCACTGGATAATGTTAATGCACTTGGAGCAGCTATGCAGGGCAAGAGGTGACCTAGTTTAAAAGACTTGGCCTCTGATATCACCCATGCGCTCTGCAGTGGAGTCATCCAGCAAAGGCTTATCTCATCCAGCTAAGTACCCTGCTTGCTTTCCCCTTGGCAAGAGCAAATAAAAGCCTTTTCTGTAGGGTTTCAGTCAGGCACTGGAGGAACAGAACAGGTCAGAGAGGCCAGCTTTTATGCAAGAGAAACTCATTAAGAGGCTGGTATAATTGTTGGAGAAAGCTCCATGTAGGGAGTTTGGAATTTTCCTTGGGAAAACAAAGCTGAGAAGTTTCAGCTAAAAATCACAGGGGGCTGATAGGACTTTGGAGTTGGTTAGTTTTTGTCATAGCGTTCACATTTTCCCTTAAAAATAATAAACACAATACTCTTTAGTTGCTCAGATAGTGGAAATAGCCCATGAGCCACATGCTTAGAACAGGTTTTAGTTAAAGAATGGTTTAAACAAGAATGATTTGAATCTGAAAGAAATGAGCCTGAAGAGAGACTTTAAGAACACAATGTCATGGTCAGTCTGGAGCCTTCTGGAGCCATCCTGC